GCCAGACTCTGTCAGCACTGTCCAATAGAACTTTCTGCAATGATAGAAACGTTTTATATCTGTGTGTCCAAATACAGTAACCACTAGCCACATGTGGCTGTTGAGCACTTAAAATATGGCTGGTGTGAGGAACTAAACTTTTCATTTTATTTAATCAATTTAAATTTAAATAGCCGCAAGTGGCTAATAGCTACCATCTTGCTCAGTGCACCTCTGTTTGGATCTTCTCTTCAACCAAACAAAACTAATTACTAATGCAGAAAGCACTCATTTTTCCTGGATGGAATCCCAGCTTTAAAGAAATGCTATGACTTTAATTTTTTTTTTTTTTTTTTATTAAAGAATCTCTGTTGCTTTTTCCACTCTAGCTAAACTTCAGGTCCTGCACACTAATAAAGCCTCCTGCAGGGAAAAAGCCTGAATGGAGATTTTCCTGGAAAAGCTTGTCCAGGAGCCCTGATGAGATGTTTCTGTCCCTCTGTCCACCTCTCACCCAAGTATAGACATTTGCACATACTTGTCTAGGGAGAAAATGTACACATATAAAGGACTTTAAAATACAACAGGACATACAGTAACTAAAATTTATGTGATCAGCAGGTTTTCTCTGCCCATTCCTTAAGCCTAGAAGCAGAGGACGGGGCCCCAGAAAACTGGTATTAGAAAAATCAGAGAAGTTCCTCTATCCAACACTTATACAGAGTAGTGCAGGTATTCACAGTTGCGAGTGGTTCTGCATTCAGAGTTGTATCTTGAGTTTCCTTCCGGTGATGAAAGGAACCCATGTCAGCACAGCTTTTTCTTATGTCAAGAGAAAAACTTCCAGAAAACCAAATGAAAAGCAAGACACGCTGGCTTCTAAAGAATTTCCATATTTATTGGACATAGTTTTACCATACACATCTCATGCCAACACACAGGAGGCACATACAAACAAACGCACCAGCTTCTGTGTTCCAAAGTCACATGGCAATAAATAAGGATGGGTGGGTCCTTTTTTTTTTTCCTTTTTCTTTTTTTTTTTTTCCTTTTTCTTTTTTTTTTTTTCCCCAGGAAATGAGACTTCATTTCTTTTTAACTGTACAAAATTTACACTGCGAAGGGTGAGGGCAACAATCCAGAGCTTAGGGGATCTGAGGCTTTGAGGTCTTGAGTACAAGTTCAGAGCAGCTTCTGGGATCCTGCGGCCCTGAACCTGCGCGTTTGGCTCAACACCGTCCTCAAGTGGGGAACGTACAAATGCTTCTTGTCTCTAGGTGGGCAGCGGATGAGCATGGGGTGTCCCGCTCTGTCCACCTGTGCTCTTCCTCCCGGGGTGAAGGATGCTTGGCGCACCTCCCAGACCTGCAGCTGACTCCTCACCAGAGCTAGCAGCGTGAAACTGTGCTTTCAGTGTGGTCCTACCAAGCAGCGTGTGGATGGGGTGACTTTGCTGCGCTCTCTCTTTTTGGATCCAGTCAGCGTGTTAGAACAGTTGGAGCGACGACTGCAAAAAGGGCCAATTGACCAACCCAAGAAAGAGAGAGGCAGTGATGTGCTTCTTATTTAGCTTTCAGCATGCCCAGAGCCCTTCAGCAGCAGGCAATAAAACAAAACTCATTTCCGCTTAATTGAATTTTTCTTCATCTCACGGTTTCCAATTTCTAAAGTGCAATGTTTAAAAGTGAGTCTCCTCGGTCCTTCCAGACCCTGCTGGCTGAGGAGGTATGGTCATTATTTCCATGGCTATAACCAAGTTGTCGTTATAGTGAGTGGCGTGCGGGAGCGGGGGCGTGCGGGAGGGGGGGCCGGACGGTGCCCTGTCACACAGCACGCAGCTTTGGCTAAACTGAAGCCTTAAACCCCTCCAGCCAGGAGGCAGTTGTTTCAGAATAACCAGCTCGAGCTTCAGAGACGGTAATGTCTTTTGTTTGTCAGATTTCTTACACTTCTTGCAAAGTGAACTCCATTGTGAAGATCTAATGGCCCCCAGGGATCTTACCAGATTTCATGTTTTACATTGGCCCAAAAAAAAAAAAAAACCCTTATTGAAAGACACTGCTAAATGCTTTTCTTCTGTCTTAATTTTATCCTCTTTCCCTGGTGTTTCATGGTATTAGTTTGCAGGAATAATGTTATCAATGCGGTAGTTGATTTTCATTTTATATTTAAAACTGCCAGATGAGGCAAGAAAGAGGAAGCACAAGGACAGAAAAGAGTTGGCCTCAGGGTGCACAGCAAGTCCCTGAAAGGGCCGGGATCCAGGCTTCCCCACAATGCGATTTACCCAGTGGCCAGCTTAGCCTTTGCATTTGGTATTTCCTCCACGGTCTTACTACTTTTCAGCAAATATAGATTCTTCCATAGCCCCACAGATCCCGTTTTTGCTTATATCAGTTACCATTGGAAACTTGGGCTTGTTTTTTTTTTTTTAAATATTATTCATTTGCTCCTGGATTCAGAAGCCTCCTACCCTCAGGTCCATCAGCCAGGCACTGCAGATAACAGTTGCTAGTAAACAGCTCTCCTAGAGCCAAAGACAGGTCCAAATATCGTCAACGCCTCCAGAAGGTCTCATCTTGTTTTTAAAATTCATCCGTGTCATTTCGCAAAGGGGAAAACAGCTTCCATGTAACACCTTATACGTCAATAACAGACTACTGAGCGATAGAGGAGCGCCTGGTCCCGAAGCTCAGGGTAGTTCTCTTCTTCTCCATCCCTGAGCCCCAGAAAAGCCAAGGAACTGTCTTGGCCTGTGGCTCATTTGTGCACCCGCCCATGCACAACACTAATCCCACTTGCAAGGAGAGCCACTTAAAATCTGAGACCGATTGTGACTGTGCTTCTAAATGCAGCACCAGTGTTTGCTGCTTTCTGGCGAGGTGGCCCTGGGGAACTTAAATCCAGCTCTCCTGGCTTTCTGACCAGGGCTCACTCAAGAGCTCTCCCAGCTAGCCAACCCCACCAGACCAAAGGAGCTCCTCCCGACACCATGATGTCACCTGCACTATTCACTGGGTTCCTCAAGAGACTCCTGTTATTGTATGAATGAGGAAGGCCTCCCATTTCCCCTGCCAGTGAATAGGGAGTGAGCATGATTAACCCATCTAAAAAACAAAAACTGGTCGATTTCATCTGGTCTCCAAAAGCAGCGCTACACAGGGGGATGTTCCCCCTTAAAGAGCCTGCTCTCATGGTACTGCACTCGCCAAAAATACCGAAGCGCCTCTGACGTCCCATGAGATACTACTCCCAAGTAATCAAGCTGAGACAGTGGTCTGGGTGGGGCGGTTTGTAACTGGTTTTAACCCAGCGGTCTTTCTCCTGTGTTTTGTAAGCAGCCTGCTAAGAACAGTGAGCTTAAGAAGCTGTCCTCCAAAAAGATGGTTGCACTTTCCTTCACATGACTTGTTACCTTGCATTTGTGTCTCCATCCCCACCCCGAATAGTCACATTATTGGGGAATTCCCCATAGCGCAGACTTGGCCAGGCTTAACACACCATCATCCCTGCACCTGGAACCTCCGGCAGAGGGCCTACATTTGCAGACTCCCCAAGCAAAAAAATTCATAACAATCGAGCACATCAAAAAATAAGGGTACACTACAAAATTGATCAGAGAACAAAGATGGCCTGAAGGCTGATCCAGGAGTTTACTGACCATATATTTTAAAGAAGCTTCACTGACCGTAGTTTAGTCCTGGAAAGGAGTTTACAAAAGATGAAGCATCCAAAAAACGAAGTGTTTATCTCTTCCTTTAGTCTGCCTACCTCATGCCTAAATCTTTGCGGTCCTCAAAACCATTCCCGGAGGGAAGGGTCCTCAGGTGCTTTGGCCCCATCACTTGCTGTGAAAGAAAGGCAATACCATCTTACCCTTTCCCACTCTGCTCATCTTGTTTAAGAGAATGGGAGGCCAGAAGAAGCGAATCACCATTTCCCAAGGGGACTGGAATAAATTCCACCTGGCCAAATCCAGTATGCACATGGAGAGCTTCCTGATGGACAGATGTGTGGCATAAAGTGGGACTTGTAGCACCATTCGCCACGGTATTTCCTGTAGAAGTGCAGTCTGTTGCAGAGACGGCAGCTCATAAAGCAGGGGTTGCCCTTGCCCTTGCCCCAGGCTTGGTGATGGGCTACTGCAGACCCGCAAGCTGAGTCTCTGCACCGCCATTGGCTGGAGAGCTCTGCCTTTCTGAGTGCAGAACTGGAGCAACACAGGGCCTGGCATGAGTCCAGCCAGCAACCCAGAGGGATGCAGCCAAGGACCATTTGGAACCCTTTGGACAATTTTAGGGCTGCTCCCTAAATGATTCCTCCCAACCGAGATAGGCCAAGAAGCATTGCTAGTACTTGGAAGAGGCCAAGACTGTCCTCCAATTGAGTCAACTAGCACAGCAGAGAAAGCTCACATTTTTAAAGGGCTGAGGAGGGTTGGCTGCAGGTGAGCGGGGGCGGGTGGAGTCACAAGCTCATCTAAACCAACTCCCTCAAAACAGACACAATGTCATTTCGCCCTACCGGATGAGAACTCTGGGAGACTGGCATCTGCTGACACTTGGCTAAACAGACTGCATGTTTGGAATCCAAACGTCTACAAATGTTTTCACTGATTGTCGTTCTGTTCTCTCCATATTTTAGCTTTGATCATTTTGGAACCCACAGCCTGTCTTGTGGAATAAATAATACCGGCAAAGTAAGAAGGCACATTGTGCACCAGGGGCACTTGTCATGCAGTCGCTGTGATGGTCCAGGGCCACTCAGCTCCAGCCTCAGAGTCGCCTGCAATGAAAAGCACTTCTTGCCGTCAGGGATTCAGTGATATAGATGGGATTTCGTAAAAACCAAAACTGACCAAATGGGCTCCGGCATGTATTTCTGGGTAGGGAAGAAGTCATATTTTTCACAGCAAAAAAAAAGGAGGGAGCATGTTTTCAACATCGAACTCTGGCCATCAAAGTTTTCCACTGACCTTTAACAAGTGACTTTTTATTTTGAAAATTAGGGTTCAATAAGGGTGGTCCAGAAATCACTTTTATCAGTACTCAAGGGCCGTGATGCCTCTACCTCAGGAATCTCGGTTCTGGTGAGAGCAGTGGTTCAGGGGGGCATCTCATGAGACACTCCAGTTGGAGCAGAGTTCCCAAAGAGCAAGGTGGCCTGACACAGTCATGCCGTCAACCAAGCACTGTGCAGCCAAAGCCTGTAAGCAGGGCGGGGGAGGAGCCGACAAGCCAGCACCCTAGCGCTCTGGGCTCTGTGCCCCTGTGCTGTGTTCTGAGACGAGGCTGCTCTCCCAGCACTTCCCAGGAAAACAAGCCCTAGTGGGGTCCCGCGACCTCCCCAGGATCGGCAGAGGACTTCCATTGAAAATAATGGAAATTCACATTGGCGCACTTTTGATCCTTAAAAGGCAAGTCTCTTTTGATCCTTGAAGATATTCTGTCAAGCCAGAGGACGGGTAGGGTGGGGAGGAGAGGTGCTTAAAAGGGAGGATGATCCATTTCATCGAGCCAAGAGGCTGGGCTAGTTGGAAAGTCGGGATAGCCTACACTGCTTCCTGTGGAGATGTCAGAGGTGGGTCCCCCAGCCATGGCTCTCAGCGTCTGGCTTACTCCCTGCCCTGCATGCGCAATGATGCCCAAATTACTGTCCACCGTGTAATCCAGCCCATTGAGCAAAGGAGCGTGGGATGGCAGGGACGAGATGGAGGATGGAGACTGGGGGATTCCATAGGGGCTCCCATCCCTCAAGTCCTGATAGGATTGTCCTGTCCCGTCCATGGAGAAGCTCCCATTCATTAACTGTCCGCCTGTAACGTCCCCCACGTTGCCATAAATCCTATTGGTGTGGCCAAGTTCTGAGAGAATTTGATCCTCTGTGGACAAAAGAACGGAGATTTATTGTCAGCCGCCAGGACTCCGGTGGTCCCGTTCTTCACAACCTAGGAATACACACGACCAGGAAAGAAGCCCAAGCATGAGCCAGACGCCAACATGTCAGCCTGGCATCCAGAGACTGACCCACATCAAGGGGAAAAAAACAGAACCCACACCTGCAGAGACCAAACGCCCAGGTCCCAGAAGGCTGGACAAATGTTTGGTGAGTTTGTTGGTCCCATGTGTGCTCAGGTACGAAGATGGCTACGCTGAGGAATACGAACGCCTGAGGTTTGGTGGGTCATATGTTCTCCACATCACAAACGGAAGAAACTCTGTGCTAACAAGATTTCATCTGAAAGTTTTCAAGCTGAGAAAAGTGCTTGGTTCAGTTAGTTGGGAAACAAGCAGGCCCATGTGGTCAGGGGAGCTGAGGACCTCTCTAAGACATGTGTACAAAAGCCTTCTGGTCTACCTGGGAAAGAGGTTCAATATTAAAGTACCTGGTTTCTCTGTCTACCAATAAGGTCTTCACTGGGGACAAAGTATTGGACTGATTAAGGCAAATGACCTTCTTGTTTTATGAAGAATTTCATTAAGGGGATCTAATGGAACCTTTGCCACCCGGAAGAATTCCTCTCTCCAACCGAGGTGAGCAATTTTAGTCTTAAGAAAAAGAAGATTATATAATTACCTGGAGAGACCAATGATATGTCAACCTGGGGACCCACCTGCGCCCAACAGAAAGGAGCTATGAAACAAGACTTAACAATCCTGTATGTTCCAGACGTTGATTTCAGCAGCTTAGAGGAGATTAAGTGGCTTTCCCCCTCCCCCGCAAGAGGCCTGGAAGGTGAGCATAGGGCCCTTGAACCCTCCCCAGGGCCCCACGGACAGACCTCTGGGCTGGGCTACAGTCCTCTCAGGACATCACGGTCCTGGCGGGCAGCTCATGCCATCTGCTGCCCCACAGACTTCCTTTCTACTCCCACCTGGGTCTGTGCATCCATTCCTACCAAGGCCACCCCAGAGTGGACTTCAACACCCATCCCTTCTGACAACCTGCCCTAGGCTGTCCCTCACCCCACCCATAAAAATGAAAAGGGGGAGGGGAGTCATGCCCGTTAGAGGGGGCAGGCGATGAAGGCTCAGCTCCACTGTGAAATGGCCATTAACTGGCCTTTTGCCTACACCTGTCATCCCGTGCGACCAGGGCCCTCTGTGGGAGCCACAGGCTCCCTAAAGGGGATGGTCGTGTCTTCCAAGTGTAAAAATGTGCTGAGCTTTCCCCAAACACATTCACAGTTAGTTGTGTTCATGGATCCCCAAGAACACTGTGAGGTGGGCAAGGATGTGGTTATTCCCCATTTATAGATGGGGAAACTGAGGCTCAGGAGAAGTGAATCCGTTTGACACAGCCATAACCGGAAGCCAGATTTCTGATCCCCCAGCTCAGGACTCTTCCCTTCGCCCCACAACAGAAGACCTTCCACATCTGAGGACTCATTGCATGAGAACCGTTATGGCTATCTGCAAACAACCGAAGGATCCAAAACATGCAGCCATTTGCAACTTTGCTGACGCACAAATTTGAATATAGCGCATGCAGCAAAGCGTTTGCGCTGGACCAGATGACAGGAGCGGTGGGGGAAGGGATTTCAGAATGAGGCTGGTCCCCACCTCACGTGCACTCACAGTACTGACTTCCCGGGGCAAAGGGCCCGTTGAGCACATCCTCCCACTGCCAGGAGAGGAGGGGGCTCACTCTAGGGGGTCACGGGAGGGAGGCCAGTGCCCCGGCCGAGGGGAGAAATGCAGGAGGGGGGCTCAGGGTGCAGGCAGAGACACAGCTGTCCTGCACAGCTGCGTGGGCTGGTGAGGGAGCCCCGGGCCACAGGCAAGGAGCAGAGGCCTGGGAACCCGGCTTCGATGTGTCCGCAGCAGAGCTCTGGTTTCCTCTGCCCTGTCCCCTCTGGAAGGGCCACTACCCTTTCCCCCCCATGCCCTTTACCCCAAGTTGCAGGGAGGGCTGTGTTCGGGAGGGAGGTGGCCAGGCCTCAAGAAAGACCCCTCGTGAGCGCCGGGGATTCGTTTCCCAGGGGCCTCTCCCAGGGCCTGGGCCTCGCCGCTGCAGCCCTGCTCACCTCGGAAGCTCAGCTCACTGTCACTGGCCCCACAGTCCTCTGCCGAGCTCGCCTTCTGCTTGCTGCCTGCCCGGCTCCTCCGGACGCTCCTGCAGAGCTGCCCCCAGCGGTGCCGCCCCGCGTCCTTCTTCAGCCGCTTTTCCTTGGCCCTTCTGTTCTGAAACCAAACCTGCCACACAAGCACAAGGGCCAATCTCGGGGCGCCCACCACGAACCCAACGCCCCCAGGGTCCCCGAGACAAAAGACAAAGACTGAAGCCTCAGCAGAGCTCAGAGCAAGGAATGCGACGTGCCCACCACTCCCCCTGCCTGAGCCTCAGAAATCTGTCTCTGATTCGGCAAATTTCCGGGGCTTGTGGCCCTGAGCCCAGCTCCCCCAGGGGATCAGCGACGCCGCTGATGAGGTGCCATGGTTACCACTCCCGAGGCCTCCTGCACGTGGAGGGGACCCGCAGGACACCCTCCACCCCTGCCCCAGGCCCGGCCTGGGTGGCGCCGGCCCTGGGATCCCCGGTCAGCGAAGGAGGCCCGGGCGCCAGGGTGGCTGGTGCCTCACCTGTACAACCCTCATGTCCAGGCCTGTCTCCGAGGACAGCTGCTCCCTCACGTGCCGGGCGGGCTTAGGGGAGTTCTTGTAGGCGTTCTTCAATGTCTCCAGCTGCTTGGCCGTGATGGTGGTCCGGGGTCGCTTAGCTCCGGCCTCTGAGTCATCTGCAATGAAAACCACTTCTTACCGGGTCCAGCCCATCTGAAGCAGCTGGGTCTCAACCTGCCTTCCTCCTCCCCCCATGTAATCTTGCCTGCCATGGGCAAGAGTGTGGGAAAATGGGGGAATACCACAGGGGCGTGGTCCCAAACCCCAGGGAGCCCACGCCTGCACCACAGGCCCTCTGAGTCACTGAAAAGTGAGGACGATGTCCTTCTTGCCTCGGCTCCCTGCCTCTCCCCTGCCAGCCCAGCCACTCAGGGGCTTTCCTCAGACTGAAGGTGTACCATTCCATGCGTTTCCCCATCATAACAAACACTCTGACTGGCCAACCATGTGAGTTACTGTCAAGGCTGCAAAGGTGAAGGAGCCAGAATGAGGTCTGCCCCAGACGCCTGCCCCTCCTTCCCATCAGGAAGGTCCGTTCCCCCAGGTCCCACCCACGGCTTCGCTGCCTTTCCACAGCCCTGGGCTCATAGCAGGGGTGACCTGTACATTCACTATTCACCTAAGCAGTGTTCATAAATTATGGGTCAGAGCCCACTAGTGTGTTGTGAAGTCAATTTAGTTGATCGAAAACTAAGAGAGGAAATAAAATGGATGGGATGGAGTGAGATGGGATGGATGAGGCAGATGAGAGCAAGTATTGTTTCATGAAACTTGATCAATGCTTGCTGTATGAATATGTGTGCTGAGTTGAAACATAAAATGAGTCTCTTACTGTAGATCATAGTCAAAATTTTTGGAAAAACACTGGTCTGAAGAGTGTTCAGGACAACAGGCTGATTGATCAACTGTCTTCAGTGGATTTTGAGCATCAAGTTCCTGTGGGTCAAAGGCTGTTTATTCTCAGTCAGAGTCAGGCACAGAGAGAGGCACTGGGTGTAAGTGGTTTGCTCCTCTCCCAGCACTTAGACTTACTTCCGTTCTCGGCCTAGCACCCCCGGAGTCAAGCAAGAGGGAATGGGCAGCTGCGTCTGGCCCCCTGGGTTCTCTGTGGCCCTCCCACGTGTGTACTTTGAAGGGGGTCTGCTCCATGCCTATCTTCCTACCTTTCTTCCTTTCCACCCAAGAAAACCCTGTCTTAGGAACAACAGTAAAAATAGCTAATGTTTATTGAGTGTTCACTGTGTGCCTGGTGTTGATCTAAGAGCTTTATGTGCCTACGAGCCTCACAACAATTCTAAAAGGTTTTTCTTGGAGTCAGAAGACCTGGGTTCACCATTCTCATTGAGTGAGTGACGTGGGCAAGTCCCCTCGCCCCTCTGAAGCCTGGGTGGGTGGCACGCTGTAGGATTAAGTCATCCTTAATGACATTAAGCCCAGGCTCACACTACGATCAATCGTGCACACAGCAGAGGGGGGACAAGGCCCCCAGTCCTCTCTCCTCCTTAGGCTGTTTTTTTTCCCCAGCAGAGCATTGTCATCCTCAAAGCCCACCACTCAAGTCCCTCCCTGGGGTCCTGGACACAGGACCAGGAGGAAGGATTCCAGAGCCACTGAGGCACACGCACTGAGGAAAACCTCCAAAATTCTTTAAATTCTGTTGTTAGGAATCACTCACGTCTGCCCATATTTATAGAGATAAGAGCATGACAGAACTTGATGCAAATACGAAATAGTGCACTTTAAAAATATCCATACGGTCTTTACGTACAAAATTTGAAATAATGAAACCACCAAAAATCTTTTCAATTCATCGAGAATTGCTTAATTTCAAAATAGGTTGGCCTAGTGCATTAGAGATTGTTCTCACCACGGCCAGATGGCAGCGCCACTGGGACAAACCCCTCTCATCCTGGGTTGGTGGCCCCTTGGTTCCGCATGGCTGGCTACGTACGCGGAACTTTCTTCTTGCTATTATGGGGACTATTATGCTGTTATTTTAACATTCACTGTTATTATAATTTAAAATCTTTTTTATATCCTATAACAATATCATCCAAGTATTCATTAAGTAGCGGTGGCAGTGCTCATGCTGAAAAATGTACCCGAAAATCAATAACTTTGGTACGGAAGTTAAATGTGATAAAATGCTATGAGGAAGGCCAAGCAAGACCATGATACCCTAGGCTGTTAATTTAGGAGAGAGCATCTGGGAGAGACTGAGATAGTGCTGAGAAAATAAAAAGTAGCATTAAGGCAAAGATACACTTCACTGGTTATGGATTTATGTGCTCCCAAGATACATGCCCGCCCCTCAACTTTTTACATTAATTCCTATGGGAAAATTAGTCTTAAAATACGTTAGTTTTGAATTATGCAGGGTCTCCTAGCACTTGTCCCTGGCATAAAATGCCACCTCATTATATTGAAAATGCAACTATCCAGGGAGACTAACAAATGAACAAAATCATTCACACCAAGATACAAATAGCTGATATTCAGTCTTTTGGGTAGCACCAGGGAGGGAACCTAAGCCTGAAAGAGGGTTTAGATTATCAAGGAGGAATTAAAACATAAAAAGAGAGAGCCAAATGCCCCACAGCAGACCAAGGCCCCTGCTGCACCAAGGACCACCCAGATTTCGAGAGATGGAGTGGCCGCTGCCTCACTGACAGTCAGAGGCAGGAGGAACGGACCAGAAACACTGTGTAAGCCCCAGCTGCTGGCAAACCTACAACAGATCTCACCTACTGTTTGCGTTTCTTTTCCACGTTGGTCTCTCCCTCATGGAACGTCCCATTCCACAAGTGTCAGCCTCTGGAAACCTCAGGACACAGCCCTATGTGACAGGTACTCTGACCCACCCCTATGGAGCTGAGATGCCGAGGCTCAACCAGGTACACGACTTGCTGGGGGAACCCCCAAGTTAGCGCATGACCCGGCAGAGATGCCCACCAACCTCTGAGGCCAAATTCGGTGTCTTTCCGCCATCCAACAGAGGTCTGCTGCGAGGCAAAGCATCCTCGATAAGAGCGTTAGCCCCACTGGGTCATTCTTGCCTCCCCAGCTGGTCTCCCCTTTCTCTCGACCCATCCACAGCAGCAGTGGACGCCAGGCTGCATGTGCTCAGGGTCTAAAGGAGGCCTCTGACTGCGAGAAGCAGCCGCTGGCCCTGGGGGTGTCCTGCATCCTTGGGGTCTCTGGTGAAGGGCATCAGAGTTGCACGGGCAGCTTGGGCTCTCTGAGTCCATCTGCGCTGAGGGTTTATCCCTAATCTTCTGTGACACCATAACTGACTCCAAAGTAACTGCACCGAGTGAGTTTTAAGGGGCCAGAGCAGATTAATACATTAAGGCAAAGAGCCTGGGAGCAGGCTTGCAGAGGCCCCAGGAAGAGAAGAGACTGAAGGGCGGTCCATGTCAAACGCCAGAACTCTGGGGGTGGGGGCAGAAGAGAGAGGAGGCCCTGCCGCACTGTCCCTCCCAGCCTGAGCTCGGCTCCTGTGGCCTCACCAACAGGGCCTCCTCACCACCACAAACCCTTGAACTGCATTCGTTAGCAAAAGACTAATTTCTCCATGCATTAATCGTAACTATACAATATATATGTGGGGACCGAGGAAAGACCTGGAAGGAGATACATGAAATTGTTGTTCCTTTGTTTTTTCATCAAGCCCAGAGCCGTCAACAAAAGTGTTCCGCAGTAACACCCTGAGTCGAAATAAACTCCAGTCCAAGGCAAATGACCTTGGACGTTTCACGAGTTTGTGCGCCTGAGATTCCCAGGTTGACTTTGGCCAAATGCCATATTCGGAGCCAGGGTGTAGGGCACAGCCGTGAGTGAGAAGCCTGAGGTGAGGCTGCAGGAGGTGGGGAGTTGGGCTTGGCTTTCCTGCGGGGAGAGCTGGGGAATTGGGGGGGGAGGGGTTCGAGCCCTCTCTAGGCCCTGGGAAGGCCCGGGAAAGACCTAGGGCTGCCCAGGAGCAAGGGCTTGGAGGGCAGGAGCCGCTGCTGCCCAAGCCGCCCCTGTGAAGGCAGGCTTTCCAGGGTGATTACTAAAGGCTGGGGCCCGACAGCAGCCTCAGCCTGTGCTGCGAGCTTCTGTGCAGACCGTGCACAGGGCCCTGAGGTGGCCAGGGAAGGGTGGCGGGGTGCACGGGAGCAGATGGTTGGGATGGTTGGGTCTCCCTGAACGAGGAGACTGGCTGAGCATCTGCTCCCATATGAGGGGCTTGGGAGACACAAGAGTCGTCACCCCTAAGGCCCTGCCCTCGAGAAGCCCACAGTCTGAGAGGGGAAACAGAATACAGTTAACTGAAATACGAGCTGACCCGTTCCAAGGGTGACTTAGGCCAACGCCAGGGCTCCT